AAGAAGCTACTAGGGGCTCCTTACTAATACGAACAAGAAGCTACTAGGGCACTACGAACAAGAAGCTACTAGGGGCTCCTGGCTTTACTACTACGAACAAGAAGCTAGTAGGGGCTCCCGGCCTTACTACTACGAACGAGAAGCTACTAGAGGCTCCTGGCCTTACTACTACGAACGAGAAGCTACTAGGGGCTCCTGGCCTTACTAACTACTAGGAGCAAGGACGCTGCTAGTCCCAGGACTACAACGCGGGAGGAGTGATATGTTCCGCTGATGTCTCTGTTTCCGAGCAACTCCATGGGCTTCGTCCTGGAACCCACTTGGAAATAGCCGCCCTCAGCCACTAGGATGTACCCAGCACGCAGCTCCAAGCCGTCCTGGAAAGACTGAGGGGTGGCAGAAAAGAATATCATCCTTAGAAACTCCAGGAACAAGAAGCTACTAGGGGCTCCTGGCATCGCTACGAACGGAGCAAAGGACGCTACGAACGGGGCTCCTGGCCTTACTACGAACGGAACGATCGGACGCTACTAGGTGAATAAGAAGTATCGAGGCACGGATCCTGCAAGGCCACTCCTCTTCCAGACGACGTACTAGAAAACAAAACGACTGATATGTATATATATATATATGACTGATATATATATATATATATAACCCCGGTATCCAGTAGAATGGGATCACCCCTGGTAGTCAGTCGGCCTTCAGTCGGCCTTTTCTTTCATGATGGCATCCAACAGACAGATCAGCTGCTGCAAGTCCCGCTCCGCGGCTTCGCACTTCTCGGGTCTCGCATGGTTGGGCACGGGTCGCACGTCGGGTCTGGGCAGTTTGGAGGAGATCCCCGGTCCTTCTCGGTGTCCCACTTCACGGTGCCAAAGACCTTGAGAGTCCTCGGCTGACTCGGGTTTTCGGTCACGGGGCAAAACAGACCCAAGCAGCATGGCTTCGTCTTTTTGATGGTCTGGGAGTGGAGTCGGATCACCAAAACGAACCACAAAAAAGATAGACAACACCAACCACTGTGCCTCCCCCCACTGGTCCAACACTCTTCGTGGGGGGACCCAAGCGATGCTCGCGGCACAGCCAGTCATGGACCTCACATGACTGGCTGAAAGAGCCAAAAGCAGGTTTCGACCCGAGTATGAGTTCGACCAATGACTGGTCGGATTGTCCAAGGATCTTTACATCCACCGACTGATCAAGGATCCAGGTATGCCCTGCGGGCACCTCACAATGCCCGTCTAAGCAGTCATTGCTCAAGGAGATATTGCTGAAGAGGTCCTCCTTGGCGCAGGGTGCTTTGCTGGCACCCGTGGTTGCAAAACTTTGCTGTTTGGGACAAGGGGTTCAACGGCAACACCAGTGTCCAAGAAAACCAGTGGCTAGTGTGTGAAGCTTCCCAAATATGGTGCTTTAGCTGCTGGACGGATATGGAAGGTGCCGACACCAAAAAGACCATGGGCAATGCCATATAACCGCTATCAACCGTTGCTTGGCCCCCTCTATCAACTGCTATAACCGCCAAGGTGCTGGAAAGCTTGAAGCTAGACCTGTCCACCAGAACGGAGAACGGCCACGTCTACTTCCCACTGAAACCTTTGGGGTCTCAACCCAACCAACGGCAAGGTGTTTGCAAGGTGATTCAGTGAAGAGTCTGAAACAAAATGATAATGATATTGTTCTAGCTTGTTAAAGCTGATCATTGAAAGAGGACAATCATCTACTTCGCGCCTACTAAGAACAACAGCCACTGTACCATGGCAAGGCCCAGTGGAAACAAACCGCCGCTCTTGATGCTGCGTGCCATCCCAACACCCACCTAATGAAAACATGTCACGGCAGTCTTCCGCTCAGTTTGTGAGGACTTCATGGACTCATGGACTATTCATGGACTGAAGAGTCCAGGAAGCTGACGGTCCTGCTCATTCCATGGAATTCGACCCTCCAAGTCATGATGGCTTTTTGGGGGGGCAATGGTCAACACCTCAGCTTCCCCCCTTACATGGCACGTCTTGTGCGTCCCTCCTGAAGCCAAGACAGGTCCGTTTGAGGACTTCGCAGCTCTCGAGCTGGGTTCGAGGGTGACAGGGAGAGTCTCCCAAATGCGTGTTGAGCCTAAGGATGTGCTCTAGAGGAAATCAGATCCAGGTATGTTTCGGGGACAGTTCGTATCCAGGTGTTGTTGAGCATTCCCTCTTCTTTTCGTGGGGTCGGTGCCCAGATCTCAAATTCTCTCGCAAAGCAAGACTCCTTTTCATTGTTCTTCTTAAACAGGAACACTTCTCAAAGGCCTGGCATATCACAAGCCTTGGCAGGGAAGACGGTGCCTCCCACCACATAGGGCCACAGAAAAGGCTGTCAGCCATTTTCTTAGACCTTCATTAAACCAACCAGAAACGCCAAACGGGCATTTAAACTGGATCCGCCAGGCTGCAACTCACAGGGTTTTATCGGATGTTTTATCATCAAAAAACACAAATATTCGATGATCGTCTATTCGACGCTAGAAGCAGGGAAAACACACATTGAAAACTTCTGCCTGGAGCCCCTCACTCTCACAGCCCAGCTAAGAAAGGGACTATGTAACAGAAACGAGAAAGGACAAAGGTCTAAAATGTCGACTCTTGATCCATCAAACGTGACCCCACGTGGGATGGATGGCAGAGCCAACCCTCGGTTCTGACGGTTTGGGCTTCTCTTCAGAGGGGGGTCTACATTAATGACTAAAGATTTGGTGCATGAAGTTGAGGAAGCGCTTCGCCTCAGCGGATCGAGAACTGGCGTCGTTGGTGGCGTCGTTGGTGGGGCTGCCCCCCGCCTGTTCGAGGCAGAAAGGAACACCAGGCACATGTCTAGTCATGTCTAGTCATGTCTAGTCATGTCTTCAGGTGCAATCTGATGACAACACGAACATGGCCATTGTCTCTCGTCCAATCGGGGCCATCGTCTCTCGTTCGAGCTCTGGGCCATGGCGCGTAGTCGGGTGGAGGCATCGAGGAGACGGCCGTGGAGAGGTCCGACAAGGTCGACTGCTTCCTGCCAAGCCACGGTCGCCCGCATGGCTTTCTAGCACCTGGCACCTGGTGTTTTTCTCACTTCTGGTGTGCAACAGTTCGTTCAGTTCCTGCTATGCTCTCAGCGTATTATGAGGAAGAAGGAAGAAGAAGAAAGACAAGGACGAAGAAGAGGCCATCTCTTCTGAGCTTTCTCCCCTAATTCGCGTGGCTTGCCCGCTCTACCCCTCAAAAATGTCACCATAGCAGTGGGGGTGCCCATCCCAAGCGGAGCCCAAACGCGATGATCCAAAGCAGTTTCTTGTGTTGGCAAGATCACAAAGCATATGCAAGCAAATCTGAAAATATCAGGAACAACCAACATATTAAAGAACTAGAAATGGCTTGTGAAGGTGTTCTTCTGATTCCCAACAATCAAGATCCGCACCTGAAGTTCTTCTTCAAGGAGTACTTGAGAGACTTCAGGGTGGACTCCATTGCTTTGGTGTTGCTGTACTCCTCCAGTGTTATAGTGTCCAAGCTGCTGAAGCAAGCTGGAGAGATGTTCTGAAAGATGGGGCGTACATCACTGAAGAAAAAAGACACACAATGTGCGAGCACCATCCGAGGGGCTTTGTGCGACCAAAACGGGGCACAGTCGAATAGACCTGTCCGTGACGTGTCCTGCAGAATGTCAATGATGCCCATGTAGAGAACCTCTTCACCCGGCGTGCCATCGGCCTCAAGATCCATCGGGCACTTGGACAAAGGAGAAGCAACTCATGCCATGCAAGGTTGGCGCACCACAAGTGTCGCTGAGAATGCAGCAGCAAGAGTCTGGATCCCGCTTTCAAGGGCCTCCAGGCACGACAGTATAAACTCACATTCAGAATTGACCCCGCCACTTGGCCTCAACTCCTAGGACCTAGAAAGTAAAAAAAGAAAAGACATGCTCGAGTACCATCGCTCTCTTTTCCCAACGAAAAAATCCCAGCCACCCGCCGCAAAATACCTTCGATGTTGGCTGTCTTTCGTGTCGGTCGCTGGGTTTGTTCTCCGTCAACTCCTGGAGAGTCTGAGGCCGTCCTCGTCTGCCCCAAAACCCATGGTGGGATGGATCCATCTCAAAGAAACAAGAAATTCATCCATGCTGACGTGGATGGCAACATGCCCCCCGATGTGGGAGGATTCTGATGTTAGACGAACCCTTCAGACCATGTCCCCTTCTGGTGGACAAAGGCTTCGGCTTCCCATGGTGTTTCTGGTTAAGAAGATGTCCTGAGGGGAGCCTCGGAGTGTGAGAAACCGTGCTCGTTCGATCCAACGCTGCCTGCCCCTTCACCTGGGAAGCTCTCGCCACCCCAAGCCTGGCGGGCGTTTGGGGGTTCACCGCCCTAGGGGAAACTGAACTGGCGCTCTGTTTTGTTCATGAAAATTTGGAGGGCATGTGAGCGCTCCTCTCTATGTAAATACCTAAATTGTCTTGATGCTGAAGAGCCCCGCCCAGGAGGGTTTTGAAGCGATCCAGAATTCTGTTGGTATGCATAGAAAAGCATCCGTGCGTTGGCCAAATCAACCCACAAAAAAAATGCTTCAAGTTGATGGTGCTCATCGTGGACGGTCCAACCCTCCCCGAAAAAAAAAAAAAAAAGGGATCGGCCCGCTTTCCCGGCCGGCGACATCCATCTGTACATCTGCACACGAGAAACTCTCGGCCGTCGGACCGTCGGATCGTCCCTGAATGCATGCGATCTAAGCGAACCAGAAATGTGCCAAGAAAGACATGCCATGAAATACCATATATATATATATATGCTTCTTGTTAGTACTAGTAACAAGTGCCACGCTAGTAGTAACAAGTGCCTTACTAGTAGTAACAAAAGCTATTAGAATTAAAATATAGATTAATTTATATATCATCATATATGATCATTCACCTTGTAGCAAGCATCGTCAGGGTGATCAGCCAACTGTACACCGCTCCGGAAGGCTCCGGGCAAAAAGAAGCTCGGTGTTCTTGACCATGGGTTTTTCTCGGTGCTCATCCAACCACTGAGCCCCAGGGTTTGAGAGTGCTCCACGAAAATTGGTGACGACATCGGCAGGTCATATGATCACAGCCACCATTCTTCTCGATGTATTCACGGCACTTGGGGCATCGTTGAACCCGCACACCCGCCACTTGAAGCTCCTCGGGGGGGCACTCGCCAGCGCTGAGCTCCAAGGGTTTCTCTCCCGAATCCTCCCATTGGTACTCACACAAGAAGCACATCACCGTGTCAAAGCCCAAGTAGCCAATCCCAACGCAGCGGGGGCATTCCACTTGAAGAGCAGCAGGAAAGAGGGGATTGTTTTGTAAGCGCTTGCGGCGTTTTAACTTGCCCAGGAGTTCTTGAAGCCCCGCGCTGGATTGTTGGACAAGCTCCCAAACACAGTCCTTTGCCAAGTGGTCAACCTCACCTGCCACGATGCAGAACTTTCAACATGCAGAACAAATTGTAAGATCAACGGTCCAAGTGGAATTCTTCAGCATTCATTGTTGAATTGGGTACCGAACACTCGGGAATCTCACATTGAATGGTCCTTTTCAAATTCACCCACACAGTGCTTTTCAGGGTTCTTTTTTCAGCCTTGGTCTTTCGGATGACGCCCTAACTGTCCCTCACTATGGTGTGTGTTGGTACAAAAAAAAGAGCCAGACCTGCCATAGGAACCTGGCACTGTGGCCACAAACATCGAGGAAGCTTCTTCTCTGCGAAGCATTCCTCCAGCTGTTCCTCCGCCCAGCGCATCCAACATCGCTCGCAGGCCGCGTGAGGGTCCGCCCGGCTAGCACGAAGCAGCACCAGGGAAACCTGTCGCCAGCGCAAAGGTTGGCTTTCACTAGCGGAGAAAGACATGAACAATGTGTGTGTGTGTGTTACTTAAGCTATCTTAAGTTGTTACTTGTGAAATATATCATCAGCGTCAAAACCGGGTATGTTTATCTAATTGTATGCTTATAACTGCATAACCCATGAGAGTGCATGTCAGCCAGGTGATGTCTTCATACGGGTCTGTTCGAGGTTGAGCAAGCCAAACCAGCGCCTCGTTGCAAACTGGGCAGGTAGGACCGACTGTACCGCGAGGAGCAGCATACCGGGCTACACGCTTCAAGGCCTCGGTAAGGCTTTCACGATGTCGCTGGATACAAAAGAAGCTTGAAGTGGGTTGAGAGCTGAGGAGGGACAATGCATCAGGACCTTTGCATGTGGCCTCATGCAAATGATCTGGAACGAAGGCGAAGTTGTCTTGGAGCCAGTGAAGCTTCTGCTGGAAATCCGAGTCCCAGCATTGCTTGCACGCGACACGTTTTTGGCAGCAGCAATACAGGAGCGCGGTGACCCGGCACTCGCAGGAGGGACAAACAGGGCCTGGAGCTCCTGCGTTCGCTTCGTGCACGCACCAAGGGGAGAATTCAAGTAGGTCGGATTGAACTTGCTCTACGTAGCTCTTTACCTCCGGGATCACTGGGCTGTCCAAATGCTTGAGCACTTCAAAACACCCTTCAGAGCAACCTTCATGCCCACAAGGGACATCCAGTGCGACGTAGGCCTTGCACCATTCCAACTTCGACGGCAAATCTGCTAGCCAGCAGTTTCGACAAGCTCCATGACCACAGGCAGTGTTTACAAGAACTTGGTCTTTCTCCTCCCCACAGCGTGGGCAAACCAAGGCTTCATTGGGCAAGGCCGGCCACTCGACTAGCTGATCAGCCACTTTGTTGGCGGACGAGGCATCGATGGCATCGGCGAGGGCTCGTGCATGCGCAGACACCTTCAGCGGCAAGGCTTGGGGAACTTGTCGGCCACAGGTCTGGCAGGGGCACTCGACTCGCAGCATCCAGCGTTGTCGGCACTTGGGGAGCTCTTTCAGGGTCCAATTCCGCAAGCAAGGTTCACAGGCAGCATGACGACATGCAGACTGAAAGGCACCTGAAAACTTCTCAAAGACCAAAAGCTCTTCCCGGCTTCCACAGCCCACGCAGGCCAGGCCGCCGCCGGTGCCACCCACCGAGTCTTGCTCCATCACGGTTTTAGGACCAGACAAAAAACAAGCCCATGGCTTGCGAAGTGCTGATGTCACATGCACCTTGGGCCCAGAACGCTTGAGGTTTTCGGCGAGGACAGCCTCATGGGTGTGAGGGGGAGAGGCAAAGGACAACCAAAAAACTGGTCAAATCCTCGAAGTGATCTGGATGTTTCATGGCAAGCTGCTGTTCAGCTTGCCAACGAAATTGGTGGACAAATATCGGCCTGCGACCAAAATAAGAGACCCCCCAATCCATGTCGGTCCGGAAGAGACCACCCAATCCATGTCGGCCGGACAGCAAAGAGTAGTCAATGCGCCCATGCTTCTCCAGGAAATCGACATCCTGACATTCCCAAATCCGGCACCGGCACCTGGATCCGTCCCTGTCCCAACCGGGAAAGGATGTCTCGATGGAACGACGCGCGGGGGACCAGTGTTCCCGCCATTTGTCCTAACGGATCTCAAGCTGGCGCCAAACAAGCAGAACTGAGTGTCTGGGTGGTTGGGTTCCCAGGAATCTTCAAATTAATACTGCCCTCATGGTGCTTGGATCTCACACACAGTTGGTGCTGGTGTGGAGTGGAGCGTGCGAGAAGAAGGCGACTGAAGGGCTGGTGAGAAGAAGTTGTCAGAGGTTCTTGAAGCCTCACATCCCCCAAAAGCGCCTCCGCCACCTGTTTCTTGGCCCCCTCCAACCGCCCTATCTGGTCTCTCTTCCGCCCGATCCTCTCTCTTCCGCCCTATCCCGTGCACACAAAAAAGAAGGTGTGGCGGAACCAGGAAGTCGCCTTCTCCAGTTGCACGACCAGCTTCTTTTCGCTCGGCCGCAGCGGCGCGCGTTCCAGGAAGTTGCGGTCCTCCGGATCGGAAGCGCCGCGCGACGGTCGGTACCGCGCGGTCGGTCGAACAGGCAACGGTCAGAGAGTGCGAAGAGAGACAGAGAGAGAGAGTGCGAAGAGCGGTGAACAGGATCCGGCCGGTCGTACTGGTTGGAATTGGGTTTCAATCAGGCACATTAGCACCCCCACGTACGAGAGACCTCCCAGACAACAACCCCCTGGTGGAAAAAGAGAAACAGACCAAGGTCCCCCATCTAATCCACATTGACAAGATTCCTGTTGATTCAAGAAGTCCCACTTCAGTTTTGGATGCTTCCTCACTTTTTTGGTGCGGCCAAGTTCTTCCTTCCCGAAGATGTCCCGGTCCCCACGTGTTCCGACCAAGCAAAAAGGGTCTTCTTTCTCCGTCTCCCCAGGCCGTCGATGAAAAAGCCAAAGACCTCCGAGCTGCGCCGCCCTTCGGCGGCCCTGGACCTCCACGCGCGGGACCCGACCTCGTCTCGGCGCGTCGTCGCGAGCCCGGCCGCACGGACCTCCACAGCGGCCGCACGCGCTCCCCCGGCCGCTTCGCGCGCTACCGAACCGCTCCCGAACCCGCTCCTTCAAGACCTCCACCCCGCTGGCGCGCTGGGCAGCCGAGACATAGCGGTGCGAGCCCAGCACCCCCTCGGAGAGAGCGGCTTTCCGGTGCGAGCGCTGCGAGGGGGATGGATCGGCACCAGGGGAGGGACCTTGGAAGCTTGCTGGGTGGTTGAAAAGGTAAAGAAAGAAAACATAAAAGAACCACATTTGACCACTAGGTTTACATTAAAATGTTGGAGCAGTTCTAGGGGCAACTTGGTACCATTGGGTGCTGGAACTTGAAAGCAACGGGTTGTGATCCCCATTCTTTTCCCTTCCTTCCCTGGGCAAGTCGCTTTGAGGTCATACTTTGCTTCAAACTTCAATCCTCACCAGACGTTGACAAGCAGGGTTGAACTTGCAAAGGCGTATTTTGCAGAACAGCATCTGTAACCTTCCGACGCCAAAGAATACACACCATTTGCACATGCGAAGTGTCACGTGCTTCGACTTCACCTGGCGGGAAGAGATTCTCAAAAACCACCAAGTAGTGAGGCACCCGCTCCTGACAAGCATTTGGATGAACTGTGTAGCTTTGAAGAATCTGGGCAGAATGAGAAAACTGTTGCCAGTAAATTCTCGGAGAACAGAAATGTGCTCTTTTGGGGACTGCTTGGCAAGGATCTTGAGTGCGGCTCTGGGTTGATTCACAGCTCCCGTTCCTGCCTTTGGAAACTGCAGACAGTAGAGGCCCATGAACCGGGGCCTTACCAAAGTCATGTATATTAAAAGTAAGGAAAAGTCAAGTGAAAGGAAGCCAAAATATCTCAGCTTTGCACAGGAAGGAAGCTGAAAAGCCTGCCCGATCCAGCAATTGCATATACATTCACTTTATGCTTAGATGAAGGCCTGATGATAAATCCTGCGTAAGTCCACTGTTCGCAACATTCTTTTCCAGTTTCACGCTACCTTCGTGTAGTTGCTCCCTCGAAAAGAAGTTCCGGTTCATGATTCATAGCCAGCTTTCACCCAGAGGATCGCCCGAGCCGCTCTGCATTTTGCACCATCTCCACCGACCGCTGGACACCCCGCCGCTCATTCAGTGTTTCCGACCGCGCGGCCGGCCGTTTCGACCACGGCCCACGGCGGCTCCCGGCAAAGTCATCTCGTTGGTGGTCACACGGTCCAAACGGCGGCGATTCACGGGGAACATGCGCCAGGACCGTGCCATCATCGAATAGGATGCCCGTCCACTCTAATGCGGACTGCTCAGAGCTTACTCTGCCTCATTGGAAGCAAGGACTCCTGGAAAGCCACAGAGACCTGAAAGGCCCAGTGTTTTGCAAGACGGTGCTGAACGCGTGAGAGGATCAGAATCTGCAAAGGTTAAAGCCCATTCATCTATCTGAATATATGAATCGTAAGATGTCTTAAGATACACTTCCCGAATCCGCCTGCCTTTCTGATTGGATCTGTTTATCGGGACTGACCCTTAGGTCCAAAAGGTGCTCCAACGGGTCTGGCCCTTCTTGCGGAGAGCCTCGTCTTTGTTCATCGGATTGACTTCAGGTTGAACAGAGTCCCACAGAGCTTCGTACCTCAGCATCCAACAGGTCGCGGGCAAAGCCAAGCCCCTTACGTAAGCCTACACACATCGATGAAGAAAGAGAGAGAGAGAGAGAGTGCGCGCGCAGAAGTGGCGGCAAAACCAAAGAAAGAAAGGCCAACCCCTTCACTTCCCAAAACCCCACCAAACCACTTATATCACTGATCACCAGTCACCGGAACGTCCACCAATTCTCATCCTCACCCACACCTTGCCACCCACACACCACACCCGCCAAAAACCCATATTCCACCGGCTCCCCCGGGACCCCGGGGACCCAAAAAGCCGCCGCCCACCCCCCCACCCCACCCCCACCGGGTTCCTCCGTCCTCTGTCGGTTCCAAGCGGCACTCGACCGTCTCGACGGCCCAGGGCCGAGTTCAGGCAGTGGTCGCTGTGGCCCCACGCATCCACCAGGGGCACCGCATCAGCACGGAGCACCTGGGACCGAGCGGGCATGGTGGGGCTCGGTCCCACACCCCACATCATCATGCCGAGCAGCCGGGAGCAAGTCGCGAACTGCTTGCCGTAAGAGGCCACCCTGCGGCCAGGACTAGGCTGGCTCAGCCAGGAAGGAATTGGAACTGACAAAAGGAAGCAGAAGCACCGAGTGCTGTTTCTTGCTAAATGTGTCATGAGCTCCTCAAGAAGCCAGGAGAGTCTCTATGGTAAACCAACCCATGGCTGAGTTTGGCTGGCGCCGTCTCGGCTCTCCGCCTGCTGCGCCGTCAGGAAACCACTCTGCAGAAAGTCGCCCAAGTTTTCACGCATCCACCACCTTGAAGTGGACAAAAAAGAGAGCGAGCGAGCGAGAGAGAGAGAGAGAGAGAAAGAGAGAGAGAGACCAGTGGCAAAACAGAAGGCAAGGAGAGAAGCAAACATCAGCGATATGTCCACTGCGGCAACTGCTCCCAAGCTGAAATACACTTCACTCTCCAGAGTTTGTTCGGAAGACACGAAGACACTCTCCTGTCAGACTTCGAAGACGTTCGCAGCCTGTTGTTTTTGCGTCCCTTTCTTTGGCCGAGAAGCAAAGCAAACAAATGGCAACAGCTCTCCAAGACCTCAGACAGAAACCGTTTCTTCGAAGGAAACGTGTTTCTTTGAAGCGGAAAAAAAAACGCTGCTTCTTTGTTGGGAAGAAACGTCCTTTATGGTCCTATCACATCCTATCACTACCATCTATCACCTCTGCTCCGCAAGTTGAACCCACTTTTTTCAAGTGTCTGTGATCAAGCTGAGAAGGCCTTGTCAGAAGGCCACATGATCGTCACCATGCACTTTCCTATCTGCGATGCAGTAACTGGAAATGATTCCCTCGCAGGAAACACAACGACTTGCATCAATCGCAACAGCATAGGGGGATTGGTGCTGAGCTGGATAAATTAGATGATCCCAAAAACTATCAATCCCAGCTTGTCACAAGCTTGTCCTTATCTCTTTGTGGTGACAAAATGGCCAGACTGTATTTCACACTTCTCGATTGCTGTTTAGGAGCTGGTACCAAGCTCGAGCCTTGCTGCCGTAAAAGCAGAATCGTGCTCCAAAAGCTTCGAACTAAGACCTTGGTAACCAGCCACAAGAAAGAACGCAGCTTGACCCAAACAAAGAGCTCAATCTTGTTTGACAGCTCTTGGCAGCCACCAAAGAACTATAAAGAACTCCTGCTTGTCAAACGTCCATCCATCCCCATCCCACCTCAAGACCATCAAGACTGTGATGATAGCACGAAACTTGGAGAAGAACGGTGGGCTGCCAGTGTCCAAAAAACTGATCACACTGGCTGCGCTCTGGAAGTGCTGTTTGTCAGCTGAAGTTTCACTGTGGTTCCCAAGCAATTCGACCAAACAAAAGCTCCCAAACAAGCAACCCCCTTCCCTTTCAGGGATTGTGCTTTGCACTCGAGACGTCCGTGAAAACCCGCTGGTGCAGCACCCTAAGGCTAGGCCCTATGTCCGGCGGCTACTCCAACCCAACCCAACCCCACCAACAATAAGGGCCCAAAGTGCCTCAAAGTAGCACAACATCCATCCAAATCCACCCGCCCCAAGCAATCCTTCCAATCCAGGTGGCGTAGAAGCAGTGCGCTTCGGAGGCTCGGATCACGTCGGGACAGCACTCGTTCCACGCGTCCACCGGAGCCGCTCCGGCGGCCTCGCGGCCGATCGCTCCGGACGAGTCGGTCGCGATGCCGGCTCCGTTCGCGTCTCGAAATGAAAAAGATACAGTAGCAATAGTTGATTGAAGAATAACAAGCATGGAAAGGCAGGTCCAAAATGATTGAATAGCTTACGTCTTCGTCGACGCTGCCCAAAAACCCACGCGTTGGTCCGCGTCTGATGCGTTCCATGGCGGACATCCCAGGAATTCCATGCGCGACATACCAGGAATACTTCAAAGACTATTTACCAAATAATCCAACCATTCCTTTACGAATTTTGACTGCAACAGCAAGTCAATTCTTTTATACAATGGTCTGGGAAAGCCAGCGGATACAACGGTATACAAAGAAAAGAAAGTGTGCTGCAAGCTCTACTCTGAATTACTCTGCTTTCTCTTCAATCTCTAGTCCTTCACACTCATTCTGCCACGCTAGGTCGGCTGCTGCCACGCTAGGTCGGTAGGTTGTACCTCTAATTCTGATCCATGATCCATACAGCTCGTCCGCCGACCCCTTCCCCCGGCACCTGTGCACGCTGGAGCTGGGCTTGAAGCTCAGATAGAACCCACGCACTTCGTTGGCAGTAGGCTTCCTTGCTGAGTCTCTCTAAACAGCCCAAGAGGTGGCAAACAAAGAATCCCATCCCAAGCGGGCTGAACTGACCGCAAAAGGTTTGGCTCCGTGTCTTGGAGGCACAGTTTCAAGTCGCAACCAAGGTTCGCACTGGATCTCCATTGATAGGAAGTCTTTGGATGTCTCGGCACGACACTGAGCTGACATTGCCGCTGTGGAGTTCAAATAGGCAGAATGGTCACCTGAGAAATGGAAACGGGGGCAGAGGCAAGGTGTCCATCAGAAAAAGAGATTGTGTTCACAGGAAGGAAACGAAGCAGAACCTGAAATTGGAGATACAAGCAAGGCACCTTCCCAAGCATTCTTGAATGTAGCCGAAGCTGAAGACGACAAAAGTTTCAGCAAGCCGCGGGTGGTTTGCTGGGCAATCATGTAATTCTCTCCTTCCACTGTGACATTCTGCAAATATGTACCTAAGGAGCACCCAAGGCCCAACCAAGGCCTGCTGGCATAACCAGCAGGATCTCGAAGTCAAAGCAACATTGACTATCATGAACCCAAAATGGATGTCCGACCCCAAACATGCACCCAACCGTCCACTACTTAGATGGGCGTGGGCACCGCTGGACCGTTTCTCCCATCACCATGGAGGTCCCAACCATCCCGTGGCCGGACTCCACCCAACCCATGGCCTCCACGGACCTGCAGCCAGGCGTCCCAAGAGCTCGGGAAGCCCTGAAGCGGCCAAGTAGCCATGGCCACCGCACGCGCGGCGGCACGTCTCGATGCCATCTGCCGGGGGCCGGCCGAGGCCGGGCGGGGCCGGGCGGGGAGGGCGGCATGGGGAGACGGAGACGGAGACGGAGTGGAACGCTCTCCGCGCGCGGGTTCCGAATCATCTCGACACTCGAACAGCCGGGTTCCGACGCTTTTCGTGGGGTGTGAGACGATCCCCAACGGACACGTGGAGACCAATCGAAAACGGGTGGCAGCAGTCCAATTCCAAAAACCCCTCAACGTCCACGGGGGGGCAGCGGTCCATCTTGCTTCTTCAACTCTGCTTTGTGGCACTCCCCCATTTCGAGACACGTGCCACATTGCCCCACACAAGCAGGAAACTTGCCCAGAAAGCTTGTGAATCTGCCTGGAACTCACGTCCTTGTCTTTCTCTCCCCTGGCCTCCTGCAATGCGGCTGCAAAGCGCCTTCAGTCCGGAGGAGGCCACATGCAGCGTAGCAGCGTCCCCCTTCAAGATTGCACGCATGGTCGCACCCGCCTAGAGGGGGCCAGACTTCCAATTGGCCCGGCATGCCATAGGGGGGAGCGCACAGGCTTCGGGTGGTTTCCAAAGTGTCATGAGTCATGGAGAAATATCAATGTAATATTGGATGTCCATCATTGGATGACATGTGTCTGATCAATGTATCGAAATAGACCTCCTGTGAAAAAGAATGCTATAGGTCCATGGCACACAATGGAAAGCATATGCAGTCGCTAGCAAAGGCAGCAAGCGCTCTTGCTGCATCGTGTAGTCCAAAATACACATCTCGGAGCCATCGTCTTTACCTTCACTGGCCAAACCAGAGCACAAACTGGGAGGCAGTGATGCTTTGCCCAATCTGACAGTTTCACATGAATAGCACTGCCGCCCTGGCCAGATTCCAATTAACCTTACTTACTGAGAAAAAGACCTCTTGATCCAGCAAAATCCATCTCAGTAGACTCCTGTCAGACGCAAAAAATCAATGGAGAAAAGAAGGTCTTTCGCTGTATAACAGGGGTTGGGCTTGTTCCCATGGTCACTTGTTGGCTCCCGTGGTCGCTCGTGGGGAATATGACATATGAATACCCGCAGCTCCGAATCGCTCAGGACCCTGAGCACCAGCGAGTTCAGGGTGGTCCTTTGCCATGATGCTCGTGAAGCCTTGCCGTCGCACGGCAGAGTAGCGGATGGCAATCGTGCAGGCCATACTCAACGCATAGCCTGCCAAGATCTGCCAAGATCAAGAGTGGGACCAAGCAGGTTGGAGGTGGAGGCCATTCCTGTTAAGTTGAGGGAAGTAGAAAATGAAAACTTCAATCTTCACCAACCCCGTTTCACATCAATCCGTCTGGCCTGGCCAATAAAATAATGGACCTCTTCATCCCTTGGTGAAAGGGTGACCCAGTAAGACTTTCTTCACGGCAGAGTTTTGGCCCGCACAGATCCATCCAAGCGCTGCACATGAGGCGGGAATTAAAGGTACAAGTCGGTACAAGTAGATCCAAGAATGGAACTGACCAAAGCAGCACAAGGCTAGGCCGGCCAAGGTGGTAAAGCATTGCGTTTTAACCAAGTCAATTCGGAGGTGCATGAAGAAAAGGTTGCTTTAGGACATGGTTTCATGTGTCCTGTCATTTTCCTATAGTACCTCTGCTACGCTGTACTCCCCGCCTGTGGTGAGCACAATCTCCACTCGAACGCCAGTCATTGCAGAATAGGAAGCCTGGGCTACCACCACACACCACTCAGAAGGGCCAAAAGGAGAGCTACGTCGCTACGTCTTCCTGCCAACTGCATCTTCCTGGCAGGCCTTTCATCCAGTCTAAGGTTGAAGCTTAAGCTGCTTATGCTCAAGGTAAGGTTTCTCAAACACCCTGTTGCAATTCAAGTCCACATTCCTCAATTCAGTCAACCCAGGAAAGCAAGGAGTCAAATCAAGCCTCCATTCAACCAAGCTGCTATTAACTCCAAATTCATGTTCCTTTCTGTATCCGCCCACCCCTAAACCCTACTGCCAATGACAAAGCGCCTTCCTCAAGATCCTGGAACGTAGCCAGAAAAGCTTTCTTCTCCCCCAGAAGCCCAGAACCCCCCTCCCACCCAACCTTTTCGGCTCCCACGTCCCTCCCACCCCCACGCCGAGCTGCCGTCCGGCGGCCCTCCGTCGCCTCGTAGCGGCCGTCGGGGTGCAGCGTGGTCTGGCGCATGGCCATGTGCGTGCGGGGAATCCGCACGCGCTCGAAGCGGCAGAAGCCGTTGTCCTCCGCGCTTCCGGCCCGCGCGGAACCGCGGCCGGGGAGGACGCCAGGCAGGAGGGTTCCAACCCGAAACCACGCCCCCCCATCGCCAAGGTGTGCCCTCGAAGGGAAGGTTCCTTTGGAAACAGAGCGGAACCTGCGTCGAGAAGATAGGTCCAATTGGTTCAGAAGGTCGACACGCCCCCCCCCATGAGAGGTCGAAAGATGGACCTCCGTCCTGGTTGTTATATCCAATCTTGGGTCCAATATCTCCGACCTCAGGGTCTTGCATTTGCCGTGCTCGGCCAAAGGCAGCACACTTGCAAAAGGCTGTGGTCAGAATCCAGCAACAGCATGAACTGCGGTCAAATCGACTGCTTCTCCCGCAAAAACCGCAAACAAAATCTTCCTCCTTGACAGTCTTAAACTACCACGCCTGCACTCCTGGCATGGGCCGATGTGTTTCCAGGTCCCTGATCTGGACCATGAAGTTGTGAATCCCCAAATCTCGCCCTTCGACAATCAAGCGTGCATAGACGATGGCATAGTTTGCCGTCCTAGACGGGTTTGCACGGATGCATCGTCCGCTGTTCAGAGGTTTGGAGTGCCACAGGTTTGGTTGAAACATCGAGGACTGCATGCCACCACACCCAACATGTTCGAACTCGATCATGCGACCATTTTTAATGGATCCGTCCTCCCCATGGCACCTGGCCACCATTTGGTGCCTCAGGTGCAAGTTTGTGGAGCAAACGCTTTACAAAACACTAGCAAACATGACCCGCACTGGCAATTGCCGAGCACTCCAAGGACGCCAAGAGGCTCGTCAATGAGGGGCTGTGAATTTCGATCTCATCCGTCTCCTTTGGTGAAAAGCAAACTGACAAGTTGGTACCCACACTGCACATGCGCACTTTGATCAGCCAAAGCTCTGCAATGAAGGTCGCTGTGGTCTCTAAAGCACGGACATTGCTTCCGTGGCCAAGCTCAGTTTGAGCCTGAGCGAGAAAGAAAACGAAAGAACTTTGGCTTCAAGATGTGAGTTGGCATTACTACTACTAGCAAGAAGCTGCTAGGTGGAGGCCATTGCTATTAGGTTGGAGGCCATTGCGACTAGTAGCAAGAAGCTACTAGGAACAAAGGGCATCGCTACTAGGAGCAAGGACGCTACTAGTAGCTCCTGGCCTTACTCCTAGTGTTACTAGTAACAAGACGATGCTTCAAAAGGTGAGTTGGCACGGCAGCATCCAACTCTGGGCCCCTTGGAGGTGGTCTGACTTCCCCCCCCACACGGCTTCCCCGCCATCTCCCATCGTCGAGTCTCCAAAAATCGCGTGGCGCTGGCGCGGCTTCCCGGGCTTCCCGGCGGTCGCCCCCCCGGCTTTCCCGCTTTTTGGGCCCAAAGGGCGTAGCAGCCAATGATCTCCCAGCGTTCAGCACGCGGGAGCCACTGGGCTTGCTGTTCATTGGTGAATGTTGCTTTGATGTTAGGGATGAACATCAACGACCTCAGATGGTGGACCATGGAGACCGGCGCGTGCCAGGTCTTGGAACCGGTCAAGCAAATGGTCACTTTGCTCACCATGCAAAGGCGAATACAAAAGGAAAAGGAAAAGCAAGTTAGAGGAACGCGAAAATTTAAAGGATAAGGCAAACTGACAAGCAGCCACTGATGCCAAAAGCTCGGAGGTCAAAAAGAAACCAAAAGTAATAGCTAAAATGATATTCATGCATCTAAGACCACAACAACGGCATCCACTGCGTGCACATCCCATCTCCTCCCTCATTCCCCATCATCCCCATTCGACCTCCACCGGCCCGGGCGTCTCGCCGAGCCACTGCAGGTCGGTGCCCAGCATGTCATGCACCGCACCGCGGAGCTCCGCCAGGCTGAAGGACGGAGCTCCGCAACCGCTTCGGCAGAGCTCCAACAAGCGACCTCGCCCGCCGAACCGCTCTTGCGTGGAAAGGCAACATGGGGGCCAATGGGGTTCAATATAGGTGATGGCCTTATTGAAAAAGCATCTTACAAGTGTTTTTCTTGGTCAAGTAAAAAACAACTCTTTGTTTTTCAATGATCCATGATCATGTGGGAATTGAGTTTTGAAGGATATGCGATAAATATTTGATAGTCTTGAGCCCAGGTCCCAATTGTCTCTGAGGGGTCCTCCCGGAATAATCACAGCAAGTCCGTTCAGGGTGTCCTTGTGCGAAATCTAAACGCACTGCATGACCTCATCTGGTTCCTGGTGAGTGCGCTCTCATACAAGCATGCACAAATGTGAATCTATTGACAGAAGCGATCCCGAAAGCACGTTTCCTAAATTTTGGCAAAAGGCCAGTTTGCGGCAGTTGACAGTTGTCGTTTCCTGTCCATAACTAAATGTTTGCCCAGCAACGTTGCTTCTGCATAGCCCTGCGATGCCGTTCAGGTCGGCTGAGATTGTACCTTGAAGTCAGCAGTGCTGCAGTGCATGTTGCAAAATCAGATGGTTTCTCGCAATGTCCATCAACCCGTACCCGGCCGGCACCATAAACACGGAAGCGAAAGGTGAAAGGACCATCCCAACAGAAGCCTTTTCAAGTGGTTTTCACCTTGCTGCCGAGGCACAAGTCGGAGTTCGAAAAAATGGGATCCTCAGAACGCGAGCCATCTTCTTTCTCCTAATACTTATCCAGGACGACAGTTGGCTGGGGGGCTTTGGTAGAAGTTGGATGGGCTTTGCAACCGTGCAAGCTCTTGAATCTTGCGGAGGACAAAAAAAAATGTGGAATCAGGGTGGTCGAGTCGCAACGAATCATCAGTTTCTCACAAAAAAAAAAACATCAAAAATATCCGAATGTCAAGAACAAAATGGCGCCTTTCTGGGATTTGTATACCTACTGATATCAATTTTCTGAGTCACTTACCCAAGACTGGTCGGTGCGCCACAGAAAACCAAGAGATCCAGAGCAAGCAAAAGGTCAAGAGGTAGCCCCAGGTTTGCAACCATGGCTCGGATTCCACCAAGGCCTCAACATCTTCTCGTCTCTTGGTTCGCTCCTGGCCGCCATCGAGAAAGAACGTCATCTCTCGGATGTCCTTATGTCAGCCGCAGCGAGAACGCGTGAGCCGCACTCAGTGCCGGGGGGTCCGCGCCTTCGTTCGCGAACGAAACCACGAACAGTCGTTCGCTGAGGGCACGACAAAGGAAGCGCGAGCGCGCTCTTCTTCCAAGAATGAAGCCATCTGTCCCGAGGTCTCGAGGCCAATTTGGGAATTGGACTCCCAATGCGAACGAACGCTAACACATCCTAACACATGGAATGCATCGGGCTGTCTAGATGTATTGTTCTTTAGCGCTGAATGTGTCTAGAATATTTATGAATATTGATGATGTTTATGTTCTTGCTTTTCTTCCTGCCATGCTGCGAGCCAAAAACTGCTATCTGCGATCCTGCGATCCTGTTGGCCCTGACGTGCGATCGCAGCTCAGCTCGAATCTTCCAGCACACATGTTCTCGCCTCTCATGTGGCTGTGGTAGTTTGCCAAGTGATCGGCAAAGAAGGTCACCTCATTGTGGCGAAACACTGAAGAAACCACAATCCCTGGGGAGAAAACATGGTCCTGAGGGGTGTTCAGGGCAACTGCTTAGACTCTAGACTCTAGATAACCCATTGAACATTAGTTTCATGACAGCTTTTGGAGCAAAAGCAACCTCCTTCTGCATCACCGTTTTGGCCAAGTACTTCTTGTCCCAACCTCAGCAAAATTCCACAACATGTGGCCAGCAGATTGGACAATAAAAGAAAACACTCAAACAAAAGGCTCCTGTGTATTCTATCGAGAATCTTTGCAAATGGTAAATATATATATATATATATGCTACTCCCCCCAAAAAAGTCCACATTTTTTCGGCTTGCACTGGTATTTGCAGTGGTTTGATGATATTCTGGCATTCATTTTTTGGTGGTATATTTTGAGGGTTTTTTTGTCTGGTCTGTTGAGTTGCATGTCACCATATTGTGCATTGGGCGATAGGAATCTTGAGATAAGTTGTTCATTTGGGAACTAGCAGCCAGAGTTTTGCAAAAGTTTGGTATTTGGATTTAACCTTATGATTTTGGAGGTGCCAAGAAGATTCCAGAATGCCTCTTTGTTGAATGTTTCCCAGCAAGCAGAAGGGATCTTGGAGATATAGTTGTTCATGTGGGGCCTAGCATGCCTTGAAGATGGGGGGAAGTTGCAGAAAGTTTTTTTTGTTGAGTGATGCTGTGTGAAGATTTTCCAGCAACCTGGGATATGCATGGCAAGGGCCTTTTTGTTCAGCACAGATGCGGTCACGGCTGGGCAACAATTCCTGACATGTGGTCCTGCACGAGATCCCCGGTGCATTTCCACATATCAGACCCACGGTACCAGTACTCGTACTGGGCCGCCCGGATTTTGAAATGCAAACGCTTCAGGCCTGCACGGGAGTGGGTGCCTTTACACACACGCTCCTTGATAAACTTCCAACACCGGTCAATGTGTTGAGTGCCTGCCTTTACTTTAATTTTCTTGCCCTTCGCCAGCCTGGTGGTGTTGAGAGGTCAAGACGAGAATGATGGTACCTGCCCAAGGCGAGCATCATGACAATGATGGCTGGGGTTTTGCCAACCCCAGGCCAGCCAAGAAACATGAATGCAAAGTTGAGCATCAGTGGATATAGTATAGGCAGAAGCGTCTGCGCAAGGAACGGCTTCAAGGAACTCGTCGCCAAAGGAAATTGGTGCTCCAGTGGTGCTCCTGATGATCCTTTGGATTTGTTCTGCGCCATGATGCGAACTTTCGCTTCCGGCCAGCCTGCTATCGGTGGCCTCAAAGGTTCCATCTTCCATGTTCCTGACAATGAGGCTCATGCGACAACCAGGAGGGAGACTGCAGGGAGGCCGAATCTGAGCTGGTAAGTTCTGCACTTGGTTGTCTTTCATTGCGGCTTCTAGTTGGCCGAGAGGAGCGAACTCGGGCACAGAAAGCTGGACATCAAATAGCTCTCCTAGAGAATCTTACTTCTTGCTTCTTACTTCTGAGAAAATTTTAAAATATTCTAAAATTTTCAGGAATTCTCTAAGTACTGGAAAGTTTACGTCCGCCATTTCCGACTAGTGCTGAAATCTTAGGATTTTAGGATTATATATATATATGGTACCCCCACAATCCCTGCAAATACCAGTAAAATTTTAAAAATATGGACATTTGGGGGGGGATATATATATATATATGTATTTATGTCCCATCGTGCCTTTTATACAGAGCCAGAAGTTGCAAGAGTTCGAACAACCCACCTTTGCTGTGGCTCTGGCTTACAAAGAACAGCATGCCGCTCTTTCCCTCTCCCTGCGGAGGAGAGAAGAACGACTTCCATTTCTCTGCAAGGCCACCACCAATAAACACCTTGACTCCTTCCGTAATCCAAGACCTCGACTCCTTCGTTGTGCAACGCGGTACAACATGTCGTGTCGCCGTTCAACGCTCTGCAAATCCACAAAACAGCCGCGCCTGCTGTCCACCTGAAAGGGGGCCATCACACATCGACTGCATGAAGGCGTCTTCAGAGACCTCAGCACTGAGTCTCCTCTCCTCCTCGCCTCTTCCTCCTCTTTAGGCAGGCACGGATCCTCCAAGACTGGAGTCTACGCCCCAAAAACCTCCAAAACGAGTCACACGGATCTCCTGGATGGAACGAACGGTTCCCTGAGCCTCCGGGCACCCCAGGCCTGCTGGCGCAAGTCTCGGAAGACCTGGAGTCGGCCGCGCGGGTGCTGGAAGGAGTTGTTTCAAGGGCTTTAACGGGATGGCTTTCTTGAGCAACCCCCCCTGGTCTTTTGGAAGTGATGTTTTGTTCCGGAAGAGGGAAAGAGCGGAACGAAACTGTTCTTTTCAAGCATAAGCCACAGGAACTCCACACTCCAGTTCCCTCGTTCTTCCAACTCCGGCTGTGTTTACACAGAGGGATGAGACCCAGCAACTCCCCTATGTCCAGGCTCCAGCGCGGCCTCCGGGTAGTATGCCACAAAGGACACTGCTCGATGTCGACCATGCACCAAGCGTTGACTTGTCTGCAAGCGAGACCGAGATTCACAAGAGTGAAACCAAATCCTTGATCAATACGACAGGGCTTCCTAAAAGAGTTTTCGAAATCGGTCTAAAACAAAATTCAAACCGGATAAAATGAGGCCACACGGACAAAAATGCCCACACCGAATTCAAGAAGCGCACCAGTTGTGTAGAGAACATCTCCTCAAAGGCATGCTCTGGCAACCCACCAGACCTGCAGTCGGATGTTACTACTAGCTTCTTGTTACTACTAGTAAGGCACTTGTTACTAGAAGCGATGCACTTGTTCCTAGTAGCTTATTGTTACTACTAGCTTCACAAACATCCAGATCTGTATTGAAAGCAGAGACCCTTTTAAAAGCCTCAGTGAAAAGGAAGAAACCGTTGGTCTTCGGTTTTGGATCTTCCACACTCTGAGAGAGCCTGCGATGGCCCAAGCATTGGACCATCTTCACACAGCGTCCAACAGAGCTCGCCGTCGAACGCTCAGCCTCCCGACACGTCGGGTGAAGCCTGGCGCTGGCACACGCGCCGTAGTCCCTCCTTGGTATGGAAACATCGGTGAAGGAGTCACACCCAAAAAGAAACGAAAACAATGAAGGAAGAAAGGTCTAATGTTGACATCGTATTAACCAACCCCCCCTATTAGTCTACCCAGGGTTCAGGCCCCAATAATAAACCAATTTGAACTACTAATTTCCACAGTCACCACCCTCTAATAAAAATTTTGTTTGGCTGAAACCCCCCCCTATTAGTCAACCCCCTGTCCCCCCAGGAAAAATATAATTACTTCAATATATATATATATATGTGTGCGTTTAATTAGTTTTTTCTTTTTCCCTTTTCAATATCTTTTGGTCCATGGTGAAACTGATCCATGGTGAAACTGATCTTCTGATCCACTCTTTTCCCATGCCATCTCTTGAGAGATAGCATTCTGATCCACCCTTCTCACATGCCATTTGGCATTCTTCCAGCTGATGCTCTCATCCATCCTTCTTATCATCCTTCTCATCCTTCTTCTTCTCATCCTTCCCAGCAGCAATCTGTGCAGCCATTGTATACTCATATGGGGTCGTCCTGCCCAACCTCTTCCCCTCCTTCCTCATCCAATAGGCAGTGCATTTCCACACATTGCATTCCATACACCCACTGGAATACCTGCACTTGCCACATACCCCAATCCCATCCAACTCAATCTTGGCTTTGGCTTTCAAATATGCTGATGGGAGCTCATCCACCCTCAAAGCACCACCCTCATTCACCAATTTCCAAGCATCCTCCTGCATCTTATTCAACTTCTTATGCTCTGCCATCATCTTCCCAGCCAATTCTGCAACCTTCTCCCTCTCCAACCTCATCTTCTCCCCATTCTTCTTGTCCTTCTCATCCAGCTTCTTCAAATCCTGAATCCTCTTATTCCTCTCAACTTGCAGCTGCTCACCCAACTTCCTCATCTTGCCGACCCGGTTCTGGGCAGCAACCCATGGCCATCCAATGGCTGCTGGCCCATACCCCATGGCTTCAGCAACTTCCTGCTCCATATAAGCCAATACAAATATACCACATTGATTGGATCCCTTCTTCTGCCTTACCACCCCATTGTTCCTCTCTAGGGATGGCCTATCCAAGAACTTCTCATCAATGATGCCCAAACTCAGCAATGAAGCCAATAGCAACTCAGCACTTTCCTTGGATAAATCTGATGGTATTTCCAATGTCTCATAGTACCTCACCTGCCTATCAAAAGGCACATCCTTCCTGAGATCCAATACCAGCAAGGTCCAATGCCCACCAGCTGGGACGGGGATCAGGAAGACCTTCTCCTTACCTGCAAATAGCCTTTTGGCATGCTCTGATGCCTTCTCCAAGGTGCCACCAAGTCCTTGTTCCCATGCTCATTCTGCTGATGGCTAATGAGGCTGTAGCTCATGGAAGGGTGCGTGAACCTCACAGAATCCAACTCATTCATGCTCTTCCCATTGAAGACCACCCTGAGCAAGGCCCATCCCAAAACCAATGTTTGAGTATCAATCCCATCCTCCTTGATACTCTTCTCTGATATGACCTCCACATCACCGTTCTGATCAATATAGTCCAGGTCCAATGTGTATAGCCCAGCCTCATAGAGCATTTGCAGCTTCACATC